ATTAATTAAAATTTAATTAACTTTAATCAAGGTTTCTGTGTAAACCGAGCAAGCCGTGGAAAAGATTGGGGGTGCAGGCTCCCCGCACGGGTACAGAGGAGCCGATGCCTGTTTCAAGCCAAACAGCCCGGGTCGGCGCTAGGCCGAGCAGCAAGCCCAGCCCTTTCGAGACGATGGCTGCCTGGGCGCTGGCCTTCACGGGGAGGTAGCGGCAGGAGGAGGGGAGCGGACTTTCTCATTACGCCCGTGCCGCCCGAGCCGCCTTCGGCACGCGCTCGCTACGTGCAGCCGGGTTTGCATGAATCGCTGATTGTGTAAGAAATTATACGTATGATGCAGCTCCGCGCCGGGGTTTGACTCGAAAAACATCATGTGGTCCGTGAGGCTGAGCATGACTGCGGCTGGCTTTGCCAGCTCCCAAACACTCTCTGCTGGGTTACTTAAAATTTCGTCTGGGCGAAAAAACTCCCGATCAGAAAGCGTCAACAGGAGAAAAATAATGGCAGAGCGATTTGGAGAACTTCCTGTCTCCGGGAGCATTACTGCTGTAAACAGTGGCCATGCCAAGTGCTGAACCACTGCCCTCAGTCCAATAACAATAAATCTATTTTTTGGTTCTGCAGAGCTCTGCTTGTACATTTTTTGAAAATCGGGCTAACGATGAGGACGAGGCAGACGCTATCCTCTGAGCATTTTCTTTTTTTTTTTTTTCCCCATTATAAGAGGAGTTGGGCTTACCAGGATACTGCTTAGGGAAAACAAAGTACCTCTCTAGATGAAAAGGTGACATATTTTCAAGAGATGTGTTTGCCCTTCGGCTTTTTTTTCTTCCTTTGTTTTTATTTTGCTTTTCATTTTAGTGTGCCCTCCTTCAGAGGCTGCTTGAGTTCTGGTAAAAAATATTTGGTTTTGCGTGTACCTATGTACCTATGTTTGTATGTACCTGCATTACAACTCAACTAACAGCTGCTACTTTGTCATCAAAATAAAATCATTCTGAGAGACGAATTAGGACCCTGGGCTTCAGGGCTGGTTAGTGAACTTCAGCTGACTATCCTGTGGCATGCAGTTCTTGTCAGCTCACTCAGGATTAGCAGAAGTGAGGATGCTGCAAATCAGTGCCTTACAATTGCTGTCAGGAGAGTCTTTTCCAGCATAGTCATGTGCATAAAGCCTCGTCAGTCTGAATCAGTCTCTGTTCCCTCTAAAAACCCTTTATCAGCCGTAAAAAGATAGGCTTTTTTTTTTCTTTTACCTTAATGCTGTGTGACTCTCCACCTCTTTTGTTCCCATCTTCCTTCTCCCCTGTTTTTCCCATCATATTATTTCAACACAGTTTTCTCAGCCTCTCCAAATCGACCTTATTTATTCCCTTCATCTCTGTCCTGCACCAATCTCGGCCTCTTGTCCTCCTTCCCCTGTTGCTGCTCCTCCTGCCTGTCCCCTCAGAGCCGCTGCCTCTCGGCACGGGCTGCGATTCCTGTGTCAGCCTTTGTCACAGGGGCAGGTTTTGGCCTCAGAGTGCGCTGCGAGGAACCATCCTAAATTCCTTCCACCCTTTCCTACCGTTCCCTCCGAGGACAGGGAGCTACCCGCCGCGTGGTGCGGGGAGGCAGCGGGCAGCACGTGGGGGAGAGGGGCGAGGTTCTGGAGAGCGAGGCGAGGAGGAGGGAAGCAGCGGCTTTGACGGCTTGATGCCGTAAGAGCTCCTCAGCGGGGCGGTGCTTGGAGCAGCGTGTGTGCACACCAGCTCCCCGAAGTTCGGGGAGGAACTGAAGGAAACGCTTTGGCAAGGCCACAAAGTTTCCACAGGCTAGACTTCACGCACCACAACTCTAACAAAGGCGTATCCATATCTGAGGCCACAGAGGCTGCCCTACGGTTGAAAGTTGTCCCTGGTGGAACTTGCCAGGTTCCAAGCTCGTAATGGCAGCGTTATCTCCCCCATCACTGGCTGCGTGGATATCCGTCGAGTGACCCCAGACCTCTTCCGAGCTCTGAAATCAATGCGCATTGCATTAGCGTAATGACAGCACGGAGGAGTCCTTCCTCTCAGAAAATGAACTCTGAGTAAACAGCCCCAGTGCACACTCCCATGCTCAGCTAGTTACTGAAGAAGTGACTTGTCAGGTTGTCTTTTGGTGTTCACCTGCTTTAGGCCAATGCAGGCGGAAGTCCTTCGCTTCCTAAAATGGCCCTGATGATCACAAAAGTGCTCCTTGCCTTTCATATTCAGAGCAGCGCGTTGCTCTTCCAGTGAGCCCACACCTTCCTCGTTCCCTGTACCTGGTGCCTCTGCCTGCAGCCATGCCGAGAGGGCATCATCTTCATCGCCCCGTAGGGCGAGGAGCATGTTTGTTCCCAGCTCCTGCCCCGTGCCAGAGCACTGAGGTATGTCAGCATCTGGCTGGACAGGTAGCCAGGCTTGGGCTGGTCCCAAATGAAAACCAGTGCCAGAAAAAGGGAGAGGGACTGAGACAAAATCCAGGCCTCAAAAGGGCTTTTTCTGAGCTCACAGGACAATGCACCACAAGATGAAGGTGCCTCAGAATAGGAGCTGCCAAAAACCACAACACCCATTACGCTGAGGTTTTCCCGGTCTGACAACTAGGCAAAGGATGAGAACAGGGCTTTGAGGGGTAAAGAAATCATGGGTTCAAACACAAAAGCAGTCCTTGGAGAACAGAGTAGAATGAGGTGCTCCCCCGTACTTCCCTCACCGCAAACGCTGCAGCCACCAGCCCCGAGAGACATGCGCACACCACCTCTCTGCCCGAGGACCTCTTCTCCCAGAGGACCTCCAGTCTCTGGGGCCACCAGTCTTGAGGACTCCGCCACCCCACCACAGCCGTCTGGCCGTGGTGCCCTTCCAGGAGGTGCGAAGTGTACGTCCAAGGCACATCTTACGAAGGAGGGACCTTCCCTGGGGAAACGCCCTCATGCTTAGAGCGGAAGCAGTGGCCACCATGAGAGGCTGTCAGCGGGTCAGGTCCGAGCAGCAGCTCCCGAACCAAAGCTTCCCAAGGAGAAGGGGCAGAGGAGGGCTCAGGCTGCGGGTCAGGGCCGACTGACCACGCTGAGATGCTCCTTCCTGGAGGCTGAGCTTGCAGCCTCGAGGGCATGGGGCTGTTTGGCAGGGGAAG